ATCGTCCCATCCCACTCCACGTCGCACCATTGTTACAAACAGCCTTCATACTAACCGAGTCAGGAATCCTTATGCTGTGTTTCTGCACCTTATACATGTAATGTTACTACTTAATACTTGAATTTCTAAAATTGTTCAAATCAACTCGATACAAATTCAAAGAATTTTGACTTTTTTTGAATTCGAAAAATTGATAAAAAGTCACATTTTCAATTTTGGAATTTTTGTATTCTTTGAATTGAAAAAAATAAAAAGTGCATATCACCGGAACAAAAAAATAAAGTTAGTTTAGAGTTGCTGAAAAGTGATTTTTCGTATTCATCACACTCGATAACCCAGAAGATTTTCTATTTTTGGCCCGGGGTACCTCTGAAAGTTTAAGAAAAATTTTGAAACAAAGTGGCGCAAAAAGTTTTCCATGGAAAAATAATATTAATTTGAAAACTTTTTCTAAACTTTCGGAAGTACCTCAGACCAAAAACAGAAAATATTCTGGGTTATCGAGTGTGATGAATACGAAAAACCACTTTTCAGCAACTCTAAACCAACTTTATTTTTTTCCGGTGATATGTCTCTCAATTGTTGAATTTTTAAATTGAGAAAAAGCTTAATATTTATTTCTGAGTTCTTTCTGCTAATTCCGAATTTTTAAAATTTCAGAAACAGAAAAATACTCGATGCTAATTCTTGAATTCTTTCTGCTTGAAAATTTTATCAACACAGAGTACTATGAATTGCGCTACTGCTTACTCGCCCCAATGGATTACGCTGCAATTTTAAGATTCGATTATGATTGCGGAAGAAAAGAGTTTAACGATATTGCTGATAAGATCATATCACAGATGTGAGCGCCACCTAGAGACACTCTATATACTTTACCATTAGCAACACTGTGTATTAAAAACGCGGTAACATGAATCGCATACATCCGAAAATCGTAATAGGATACAGAAAAGTGTCTCTTTTTTTGTGAACTTCTGTGTCTCTCTTAGGCATCTCTTTTTGGTATTTTTATTGATGCATGCCAAATACCAATCGAATTCGTAATTACGCACACCCCTTGTTACCGAAATTGAAACCAAATAAGATACTATATAAAGTGGATAGTTCAATGTTTAATACAAGGTTATATCAGATCCGTATGATGGCATACTACTTAAAAGTCTTAAAAGACTTAAAATGCGCCATATATTGTTGATAAAGCCGAGAAAGTGGTCCAGCACAACAGTGAGGCTTTGAGGTTTTTTAGAAGGTTTCTGGAAAACCTTAAACGTATACCCAGCTGAAATTTACCTTTTTCGTCTTCGATTATGGTTTATGAGCTGTTCTGCGCGTTTCCTGAAAGTTTGTTTGAGTCAGCATGAGATTTGACCGAGATATAAGGATTTTAATTTTTACTGGTAACAGGCGAAAAACCCGTTTTTCACAAAAATGTCTCTGGCGAAGTTATTTTCATTTCTACACAAAAACAAATGTTACCACTACGCTCGGCGTAGCCGATTGCCTATATTCCATGGTATTTCGAGATTTCCTGCTCGGAGACAGACACGTGCTCGGGGAAAGCGAGCCCTGTCCAAACCACGATAGCTGGAGAGCTGCGACTTGCGTAATTTTGTAGAATAACATCCGGACTACCTGCGCATATAAAAAAATTACTAACGTTGTATGTTAATTTTCTGAAAACGGAGCTAGTTTTCCAAGATCCTCTGGAAAACCGGCTTTACAAACTTTTCCGAAATTTTTTTGCTTACGAAGCATAAAGTTACCTTTTTTATATCTAACAGTGAAAACCGCACATTTTCACCTGCTTCCGTTCAAGAGCTATTCAAGTTACAACCGACTCCATTATTCATTGAAAACGATAGTACTTTGAGCATACAATAATGTAAAAGTTTTACAAAATGTTTTTTTCAACTTATTATACATCATTCGATGGAGCAATTCAAGCTTATTAAGAGAAAAGAATATTTTTGATTTTGAAAAGCTTTTTCAGGTCAAAAAGCACTCAAATCTTCAAAGATAGGTCCATATTTCAGTATTGTATTGTTTTGACAGTTTCAAGAAATTTTTTTCAGATTTACTGTTAAAAATTGAGTTTAGAGAACTCAATTTCGCACTTATATAAATTACAAAGCTCGAAATCTCATTGCGCCAGGGTTCAAAATCGCATTGGGCAATGTGCTCCGCTTCCCGTAGTTACGCCATTGCCTATGGACAACTTGTTCTTTATCACAGTGCTACCTGCTGTTTACTTAAGTTTTACTAGCATTATGGAAATTCGAAACATTTTGTCTTTATTGTGCTTCAGCTTTGATTTTAGATGATACTCATTCGCTCTTCATTATCGTGTAGAACAACATGGCTGATGTAGTATGCATTGATCATTTGCGACTGTTTACGTTACATGTAATCCAGATGGTAGTTGGTATGATTTGAAGATATTTATTTCGGCACAAACGGCAACACATGGCAAGGAAATTATATTAAAAAAGTGGTATACAGTTTTAAAGATGAGCTTCGCTGTTTACAAAATTCATGATGGAACTTATATCCAGAATTATGTTATGAATGAATAAACGATTCCTTTTTCTTCCTTTTGTTTTGGTAGTATTTTGGATATTTTTGCTTTTAAGTTATAAACAAGTGTTGTAGAAAGTATCTTGTTTACTTAAATAAACCTTTCTTTACCATCACGAAGTTGTTACTTTTATCTGAAACAAATAAGGAAGAATTTAGATTGAAGCTGTGGAAGTTCGTAGAGTAATTTTGAAAGAGATCCATGCAGTTTATTTAACAACACTTGGCTAATAGAAATAGCTAAGATTTGATTAGAAGGGTAGATACTTTATTTTCGTATTTTATTAAAACAATTTAACAATATTTAAAACATATATATATAAGACAATCAAACGTTTCGACCTCTTTTAAATTGAGGTCTTCTTCAGTGAACTTAATAACATATGTGTAAAAATATATAAAAATAAAACTATAGTTAAAATTGTTACCTCTTACGTGTGTAGATTTAAGATTGTAGCGTGACTGCTTCAATAGCTAGATCTCGAAATAGGATAAATGAAAAACGAAAAAGAAAATAGGCGAGTGACAATAAAGAAATTCACACTACAATTTTAAATCTACACACGTAAGAGGTAACAATTTTAACTATAGTTTTATTTTTATATATTTTTACACATATGTTATTAAGTTCACTGAAGAAGACCTCAATTTAAAAGAGGTCGAAACGTTTGATTGTCTTATATATATATGTTTTAAATATTGTTAAATTGTTTTAATAAAATACGAAAATAAAGTATCTACCCTTCTAATCAAATGCAGTTTGGAGAATCCTTTTTGAAAAAAATTCTAAAAGACCAAAAAATATTAACAAGGAAAGAAAGCCAGTTTAGAATCCATAATCCGTTTTGCTGTGTAAGTCGGTATATGAATGGAACTTCCCAGAGATGTCTTTTTGTCTATTTGAAGCATGTTTTATTTAGTCAGAACACATTTCATCCATTTCTTGAAAAGTTTATGTATTTTTATATCCTGTTCTTCTGCTTTTTCTTCTAAATAGATTACTCTACGAGATGACTGATAGCAACGATAAAGAACTCGAAAAAATAAGATTACTGCTTCAACTCGAAGATAAAAAAGTACAACTCGAAGATAAAAAAGTACAACTCGAAGATAAAAAAGTACAACTCGAAGATAAAAAAGTACAGCAACTACAATTACAACTTCAAATCGAAGAAAAAAAACTTGAACGAGCTCGTCTGCACCCACCGTCAAGCTCGGCTTCGCTATCAGCTACCAGCTATGCTGATTATTATCGTTTTTCGATTCTACCTTATTTGACCACATGTGATTTTCAATATCCCATAGTTAAAGATATCGATAAATTATATGGTGACAAAAAGTTTAAACGAAGGCTTATTGGGTTTTTGAGGAATGTAACGGAATCAAAACCGGAATTGGAAGTGCAATATGATTTTCAAACACTTTTAATACGTAACGAACTATGTAACACACCTGATTCATTATTCAGTTTTTTCGATACACATTCGATCTATTATCTGAATAGAAAAGCAGTGGATATTTCTTTCTTTTTTAATGGAACAAATTTAAATCGTAGTTCATTTGATGATGCTTATTTGGAATTGGTTGTTTTGGTTTGTGAATTCAAAGCTCCGGACGTTAATATTGGAGTTGAAGGTGATCTAGGTCAAATGTTTAAATATTTGAATGTGATACTTTCCGAACAATATCGAACACATGTTTACGGATTGGTTTGCAATGGTGATTCTATTGTTTATACCAAAGCAGAAAAATATTTCCGTGAACCAAAATACTACAAAACAAACAAAATATCGTTAAGACGTCCAGATAAAAGTGTTGATGATGAAGCAGTTAAACAACTAATATGTCTTTTAAAGGGATATGATGATGTCGAAAAGAATATGTCATTTTATGGTATGTCTGGATCTATATATAACTGTTTGGTAGTATTTCAGAAGGATCAGATTGTTTTCGGACGCGAAATGAGTGAATATATCAATCACTGAAAAATGCATGACGTTGAAATTTATGTATTTTTAAAACAAAATATTTGCAGGCTAAAACCGTTTTGTAAATAGGAATTTAGCAGAGTAGTGGAAAAATATTCGACGATTCCGAAGAATAAAGGTCTCCGTTTTTGATTTTGTACATGAGAAGTTTATCAGACATTGCTGATAGTTTCATGTTGCCGTTATCCAAATTCTTTCAGAAACACAGAATTAAGCCTAGAATTCGGTTTTCCTTAAACTTATGTGACTTGTAAAGAGAAATCACAAGCTTTTGTTTTATATGCAAGTATTTTTTTAGGAACATCGTTTTATTACAATCGACAATCTTTGTTACCCAGACATTTGATCGAAAGACGACTTGGACGCGGGTTAACATCGCGCACATTTCTTCTGAGCGACAATAATGACACAAGATGTAAATCTGTTCTCAAACTTCGATACGGTCAAGATTTTAAAAGTGTATTTCAAAATGAAGTCAATTTGGTTTTACGTTTACATTCTTCATCATCATCAAAATTTTTTGAATCGTGTTTATTGAAAATAATTGAATACGACAAAATTGACTATCGATTTATTTGTTTCGATAAACAATTAATCGAAATTAAAGAACAATTAACGTATAAGCAAATCCTATCACTATTTCAAATTGTTATTGAATTAAATAAACAACGAATTGTTCACCGTGACATCCGACCAAATAATATTCTATTATGTATACAGACAAAGGATTTATACTTGGGTGCGTTACCATTCTTCAAAACTTGTAATGGAGAAGTATCCATTTTTTCAGTTGCTCAGATAGTAGTGTGCTGCCAATAAACGATTTGAGTGTTGGATTTCTTCCCTGATTCGATCCGTTGTCATAAGAAAGAGTGTTTTCATAAAATTCTTTCGACCAGCTTAAGCAGGCTAAAACACAAAATTTTGGTGAAACAGTAGTAGATTAGAGGACCAAACATTCTGCTTCCGTTACATTCCCTAGAAAGGAATATAATTTAACATCCGTTTCTGAGTGAGGGTTCCGACAGGAAAAGATCATGAAAATTTAGGGCTGTGTGTTTGTTTGTCCGTTCAGAAGATAACAAACACAAAAGAATATGGATATATATCATCCCACGACCTGTATCGGTTGAGATTCGACCTAGCTCCTAAAATGCAACTGACTCGAACTTTTCAAAAAATTTGAGTGATTTTTTCGAGTCAGTTGCATTTTAGGGGCTAGGTCTAATCTGTGAAGGAAGTAAAACTCATCTCTATATACCATTTTGTAGCCCGAACAAATGAGTTAAGCGATACCAAAAGTAGCTCAAAACTCTTTAGCAGTAAAATTTCTATCACATTCTTTAAGTGAGTCGAGGAGATAACTCGTCGTCAACGCCTGACAGAATCGGCGTTGAGATCCTCTAACTATAGAACAATGATATTTAATCTAATGACCTGAAAAGAAGGCACCAAAAGAGCAGTATGATGACCACAGTTCTAAAAAAGTTCTTTCAGAGGCGTGTTTATTATAAAACTGCATTCTCCTTTATAACAGAGAGTACTCACTGTTGATAATCATTAGCGTAATTTAACCTTTTATTCTAGTCGATTTTGGATTCGCTTGCGAAATGGGAAGTTATGTATCATTCGCCGGCACAGTTTGTTATGCTCCTGCACATATGCTTCTTAATTTAAGACATCGTTTTGGTCACTATGGTAGTTTGTTTCAATACAACGATGAAAACTATGATCTTGAATCATTTGTTAAAGTTCTTGTATTTTACGACAATGTGGAAAATCGAGAAAAACTACAAAAATTGGATACCATAAGCAGACAAGACGATAAAATAGAAGCCTATATTAGCTTTTGGGATAAAATACGGTCTAATGAAAAGTTTCAAAAATTATTCGATTTGGTACAACTGGCAGCACATCATCTTACGATGTATGAACAAAACATAGCCAATGAATTAAATACATTATTTAATAATGGACAGTCAGCTTCCAGTTCTAACGTTCAAACTGCCGGTAAAATCCTCAAAAATTGAATTTCTAATTGATAAAGTGGAAAGGAAGGAAATAATGCTGGCGAACATATTAGAAAGTTTGAGTTTTACTTGATTGTTGTAACTGTTTATACAATGAGAACCTTTTTAGACGGCACCACATGTTAAATTTTCTCTTCTTTCCTGCTAACAAACAGAATTTTTTTAACTTTTGCCAAACAAAATTTATGAAACCTAGTCAAAATCCTCCTTGTCCTAAAATTTTATTTTACGTTGACTTTGTGTATTCTTTCAGATTATTTGTCAAAACCGATGTCTTCTAACCGCGAAACATATGCACAATCTTCGTCTCGTGTGTCTGACAAACAGCGCCATCCTTCTACGAGGTATGTGATCTAACACCTGAAACAAAGTACAACATAAATGAAGTTTGATTCTTTTCCTCTTTAATAGCGACTCTGAAGATGATGCAGCACGAAGTAAAAAAAGAATGGACACAACTTCATGCTAAATCTAATTCAAATGTTACAATTGATGATTTGACAAGCAATAACTGTCCAAATTACTGGATTTATAGTTTTTAAAATTTAGAATTTGTTTGTTTTCTTTTTTCATGTATAGTAAAATTATGTGTACTTTAAATAGAATAACTCACTTTGTTTGTTTATAACAAAACAGAAACATCATATATTTTCGCAAGAAGATTTCACAATAATGATTGTACTCCTCAAAGCCTTATATTTACATGGTGGTTGAAGTCGTACAATTTAGCCTTTTTATCATTCTATGCAATGTGTATATATTACAATGTGAAAGTCAAACACATGTGAAATGTGATATAGAAAACAGAATTATGTGAAAAACCGGTGGCAGAGCGCCCATTTGTGCGAGGAGTGTGTACACCCCTCCTATTTTCAGTAATTTTGGTGGAAATTTGCTCCGATTTTAACCAAAAGTACGGGAAATTTACTCGAATTTTGTGTAGACTCTCAACATTAGTACAATTTTCCATGACACCATTAATTCCTTCAATACCGATTTTCTTTGAGAATGAAATAATTTAAGTCAAAACGAAAGTCTTGAAAAAGTTGATCAATGTTGTTAATTCTGGTGGTACTAATATTGTAGCTCATTTCGGGACTCATTTCAGGATCCTATTTCATTGTAAACGTTTTGTAGACAATTAATCGCTCTATAAACAACAAAATTCTAGTTAAATTTAATCATTCTAGAAGGCTAATATTTTTTTGCTAAGTAAAATTTGTATCTGCTTAGTAGATAATTTGAATGTTTAACAAAAAATTATTGGATGCTCAATTAATTTCATTTTTCTCAGCAATTAAAATTTTTGCTAAGTTTGATAAGTAACATATACGTAAAATATTTCATCATTAAGTTAATAAATTGAAAAATGTAAATCTGTATGAATATGAAACTCGACTTTAAATTTAATTATATTTAGTAATTTTACAACCGCCTTTTTAGTTACTAGAGACTCAGACAAAATTCATTTCTGGAAGAATCAAAGAAGATATCACGACCGGTGTCGACCTTTCTCAAGGGTCTCATCAGGTGGTTTCCTTCGAGAAAGACAGAGTTAAGACACAACAAGCAACACAAACTCCGTCCACATCGTATGAGGGTGTTACTATTCCGTGTTCTTATCGAACAAAGAACGATAACTTTCACACGACAAGAGCGAAGCACGATATCACTGTACAATGCACATGTTCTGCTTTTCTACGTTAAGTATTTCTTTTCATTCTATCAGAAATGACTCATCCTTTTAAACTAAACTGTTTCTACTAACTTTCACTCAACAATAGTACATGGTATTATGTCTTTTTATTTGGTGTGGACGGAGTTTGTGTTGCTTGTCGTGCCTTAACTCTGTCTTTCTCGAAGGAAACCACCTGATGAGACCCTTGAG